GCTCACCTCTAGAGAAAGGACAGTTATATATGTGCTCACCTCTAGAGAGAGGACAGTTATGCGTGCTCACCTCTAGAGAAAGGACAGTTATACATGTGCTCACCTCTAGAGAGCAGACAGTTATGCATGCTCACCTCTAGAGAGAGGACAGTTATGTTATATTTGTCGACTTAAAATCAGAGAAGAACCACATGTGCTGACGTTAAGTTACAGGACACCTGTAAGTGCTAGCTTGCCATGATAAGTAATTCTGTTCACTTTTATGGTTAAATTGCTGCATTATACTTCTTATTTTACTATATTGTTCGATGTGAACATACACTCGTGACGCATACATAGCCCATAGCAAGCAATTAATGTCAGGAACACTAATATCAAATCGTCCACGTTTTTTGGATTTTTAACTAGTTGAGAAACAATCTTATCAGGTAAGAATTTGACGATGCGTTTAGTCCCGTTAGATCTTACTTTTAATGTAAAAAAATGGCAACAAACATTTTACAAATTTTACCATAGAAAATTCGTGACGTAGTCAATTTAAATCGCAACTACATACACAGCTAGCTGCAGCCAGTGGAAGGTAAGGATAGTTGTACACACTGAATATCCATTTATTCCTGATACCATAACCGTTTCAACTGGCCGGCCACACGGCTGTGGCCAGACGCCGTATACACACAGACTACATTCACGACGCAAGAGAAACGCACAAAGCTTCCTCTCTGCACTCACGAACCTCTTCCCTTCACACTGCGTACGGCAGAATGCACTCACCAGCAGAATGAACGCGAGTTTGAACTTCTGGAAGACATCGATGAACTCGTGTTCTGGTGGCGGCCGTGCTCTGATGGCCAACATGCCGTCTGCAAACAGATGTCGCACCGAATTACAGACTCCCCTGACATGAATCAACATATAACCAACAATTACAAAGACTTCCCTCACATTAATAAATATATAACTAACAATTACAAAGACTTCCCTCACATAAATCAATATAAAACCTGATATTGCAACCAGATATATATATATATCAACCAAATACTGCACTGAATTCGAAAGACTTCCCCTCACATAAATCAACATAAAACCTGATGTTGCAACCAGATATATATATCAACAAAATATTGCACTGAATTAGAAAGATTTCCCCTCACATTAATCAATATATAACCAACAATTACAAATTAGCGTGATGATAGAAGACACCCTGCCCTCTATGGGTGTAACCGCCCGCAGTATCTAAACAACATTTGCATGCACGCACGATTACTCACACTGATTATTTACTATTTATAACATTACTGTTTAATCACAGTGAAAACTTCCACGATAAGATATGTCACATGGTCTTGTAACAGGCAACACGTCGGACTCCCAGCTTTACATGTTAACTCACAGAGAATCAGAATGTACAGCTTCTTGTGGCATCTACTGTATTTCCACATACTGTCTTTCTCAGTCTTCG